AGTTGTAATGTATCATTATATAATGGAAGATATTTTAGCAAATTGAGAAAAATACAGTTAAATGTTGTAAAATCAATTTTGCATTTGGAAATAAAGGACTCGTACTTACTTGAATTTTACTAGAAATAATATTTTTGATATTTCCTCAAAAATTTATAACATATTGCCAATCTCCATATCTTGCGCATTTTTCAAATACTTGGATTATATTAACAGTTCTTGGTTTTATTTACAAACAAAAAGAATTGACAAAAAGTTTCATTGGTTGAAAGAAAAGGATCAAAAAATTTGTAAATCATTTATTAAACCTATTTCTTATTTTTGTTCCTTTAACAATGATTCGAGGCTTAGTACGGTTTCTAATGAGATTCCTAGAGATGATTCTTGTCTGTGTGTGGAAAAAATACATATTACAGCGTCTGAATTTGGTAATACAGTTCCGTTAAACACTTTGAATGAAAAGTGGTTCCTTAATTTGAGTAACATTCACATTCCTAATGATGTTAAATATTTATTACAATTAGGGGAGGGATTTGGACTTCCCATTAATAGAAGTAATTTTGAACGAACTTTTATTGAATTCATCAAGAGTATTGAAAGTAATATTATCAATCGCCCTAACAATATAGTTAATGTGATAAGAAATAATTCTGTTCCAATTCTTGAAAAATTTCGCAATGACTTTATAAAAAGTGATTCTAATAGTAAATTGTTTAATTGGATTAAATCCACTGATAAATTTGTTAAGGAACACCCAGAAGTTTTATTTTCAAAAGCGGACAAAGGAAATGTGACTGTTGCTCTTAATAAGGTTGATTACATTAATAAGATGGAAAATATGCTTTCAGACAATAATACTTATGAAGTTATTAATAAAGATCCTACGAGAAAAATTATTAGTGACTTACGGAATATATTCTTTGTAGATGGAAGAATAAGGGGTTTATTGACGACATTACATACAAAAAGCTACTTAGTACTGACGACAATATTCCAAGGGCTTATGGGTTAACAAAAATTCACAAATTGAATTATCCTCTCAGAATTATAGTTTTATCTGTTAATAGTCCGTTATATAATTTATCATGTTATTTACATAAAATTATTAATGATACAATTCTCAAAGCTCCTAGTTACATAAAAAATAGTTTTGACTTAATTGAAAGATTAAAAAATATTAAACTTGATTCTGACTCATCACTTGTTTCACTAGATGTGGTTTCATTGTTCACTAACATACCTATAGATTTGGCAACTGATAGTGTTGTTAAGAGATGGGAATCTATATCTATGGGGACAAAGATTACTTTAGAAGAATTCTTGATTGCATTTAGATTGATATTAAATTCAACAGTTTTTATTTTTAATGGTATACTTTATAAACAAATTTTTGGAACCCCTATGGGATCCCCATTATCACCTATAGTAGCAGATATGGTTATGCAGGATTTTGAAGAAATGGCTATTGGTCTATTGCATGTTCAGTTGCCTTTTTATTACAGTTATGTAGATGATATTATATTGGCAGGCCCATATTCTAGTATTAATGACATTTTGTGTATTTTTAATTCATTACACACAAGATTAAAGTTCACTATGGAGATTGGCAATGATGGTAAAATTAGTTTTTTGGACACGTACATTATTGTTAAAGATTGTTATATGATTTTTGATGGTTACCGAAAGGCTACTTTTTCTGGCAGATTTCTTAATTTTCATTCCCAACATCCTGTTTGTCATAAGAGAGGCGTTATATACAGTGTTATTGATAAAATTGTTCGATTGTGCCATCCTACTTTCCATCAAAATAACTTGATTGATGCAGTTAATATTTTTTTAAATAACGGATACCCTCTTCAATTCATTTTTTCAACAATCCAGAATAGAATAAAATACCATATTAACAATAATAATTTGAAATGTAATAACGCTTCTTTAAATTTAAATAAAAAGTTTTTCGCTGTTCCATTTGTTAATTCGGTTTCGGAGAGATTTAAACCAATTGCTAATGTACTGGATTGTAAACTGGCTTACACTATTCCTAACACACTTAAACACTATATTAAAAGAGGCAAAGATAAATTAGATCATACACACAATCAGAATGTAGTTTATAAAATATCATGCGAAAATTGTGATGTTAGCTATGTTGGCCAGACAAAGAGACAATTGAGAACTAGAGTAAAAGAACATGTCTCAGACATTAATAAAGGATCAAAATCTCCATCGGTTATTACTAATCATAGAATGGAAACGAATCATGATTTCAAGTGGAACAATGTGAAGATTTTGGACATAGAACCTTCCTACAGAAAACGACTGATTTCTGAAATGGTCTATATTAAGAAACAAACACACGGTATAAACAGACAAAATGATACGGAGTCATTGCCAGATTCGTATACCAACATGATTAGTTCCCTTTCCAGTTCTTGATTTTCCATTGTCCTCTCTCGACTTTCTGCCAGCACATTAGGTTGTCTGACGTTCTCGTGAGCGGTTGCTTTTACAAGTGCAAGATGGTTAAACTGTATTTAAGTTAATATACATGGGAAATTTTATAAAATAATTCGTTATCCATTGTCATCGGATAAGGTAAATTACTTCTGTTTTAACTGATTTTTATTTTTATATTTATTTGACATTTTTTCACGAATTTCTATTACACCTTTTGAATTTTATATTTTTCAATATTGTTCTTACAGATGTTTGTGTCTACATAGTTTTAATAGATCATAACTTCTTTTTTGAGTTTTTTCTTTTGTTAAGGTAAAATAATTTCTGTTACTTGTATATTCATTTAACATTGTAAAATAATTTCTTGATAATTTGTCAAATTTGTACTACATATTACATATTTTTCATATAGATGTTCGTTATCGCAACTTAATTTTATTTTCAATGGGACTACTTATATTTGACTTCGAACGACATGAACATTCTTATAGAATCAAGATATTGTGATATGAACATTCTTACAGAATTGAGATATTGTGATAAGTGCTTACTCTTTTCTTCCAAGTTTTGACTTTTTTGCAATAGCTATTTAAGACATGTTATTATTTACTCATTATGAAATGTTACAATTAATTGATTAATTTTTATGTATTTATATTATGTCAGCGACTTTATGTTATTTTGTTTTTATTATGTAATTTGAAGTTTTTTATTATTACCGGATGTTTAAGTTAAAAATTATTGTTTTTTTGCATTGAAAATGACCCGATCGGAGTCGAAACGTTTGTATTTATGTATTTAATATTATTATTTTAATTATAATTATTTGTTAAATATTGGTTCTATGCCCTTTTAATACTCATTCGTTTTATACATATTGAACCTTATTATTATATTTTTTGAATATAATTTTAATATTTTCTTGCGAATTGCCTCCTTCTTAAATACGCAATATACTTTTTTGCGTAAAATTAGTAATTTACAGATAAACAATAAAATATTCCTTGCACTCATGATGCGCTCAAACACATTAACTCACAGAACGCATAAAACTCAAAGAACGATAAAAAAAATTGATATGGGGAAGAAATTCTGTAACCTCTACACTGGCCTCTTCTTGAGAAGATTTTAACAAATACATTACCGTTTGCACATTTCTGCAAAAATATTTCCCTTATGTCACATTGAGCGGTTCATGCGGTAGCGGAACAAAATTCAACCAATCACGAAGTACTTTTATATTTTCTGCGGAAAATCTGTTTCAATTAATACTTTACGATTTGCTACCGCGTGAACCGTTGCCGGTCCATGTGACATAGGGATCAGAAAAATGCTGTACGAAAAATACGGAAAGACTCCGATTGGTCGCTGGATTTCCGCCGCTACCGCCAAAACCGTTCCGCTTTTACTTTTACCGCTTCATGTGCCTTCGGCCTCAGGGAACAACGGGCGCATTGGTCGAGACGGTTGGATGCACTGAGGTGTAGAGAGTGGCGGTTGGTGAGACTGTACTCCGTTCGCGCGTGCGGCAACTCCACATTGAAACAGCCTTCGCAGAGGATTTCCTTGCTAATGCTGTTCAAATAGATGTGCGACCTCGCGCAGAAAGAATTATTAATCCATGTGCGATACGCGTCACTGCCCACGCCTCTATTAGGCGTCGTCTACAATACACGGAATAAGAAGTAAGAAATTGACCAATCACAGTCGATTATTCTTCTCACATTCGACTGTGATTGGTCAATTTCTTACTCTTACTTCTTACTCCATGTATTGTAGACGGGCCTTAACGTTACGATACGAGGGCACATATCAAGGGATCGCGCTATGTCTCGAATAGAGCCAATCAGTGACGCATAAGCAAATAGTTGACGTGGCGATAGCGGGCGGCGCTCCTGCGACGCGGATACTTGCAGCACACAATGAACGAACGGCGTGGCTATGTTGACGGCATCTCTGTGGCCACGGCGTACCACTGATTATACACGAGCCGATAATGCGCCACGTGGTAACGCAATGGAGTGACGCTACTATATCAAATATGGTGCTGCGCCGAAATAGCCACGTGGCGTTGCACGGAATCTCTTACCTTCGTGAGGAGGCTCAACGGCAATGTGATACACCAATCGCTGCGGTCCCCGGCAGTCAGCGGAATCCAGTCCTCCTCTCGTGCGGCAGCTTGGCGGTTTTCTCGTATCTTACTCACTCCCGGTAATTCAAATAAGAAGACAGAGGATGCTGGGAGTAGCGGAGGAAGCGCGAAATTGATTCTTCGGAAATTCGTGACATGTGCTCGCATGTGCTTTATTGGTTAAGGGGTGATCCCGATTGATCATGGCTCGATTGGACACCACCAATCACAGCGACCGATGCTTAGGAGCTTTGTAGTCTCAAGTGCTGTGAGTGACTCGTGTCCAATTGAGCCGTGTCCAACTGGGTGCCACCCGTAAGAAAGGAGGAGACCGATCACGATTGCGCGCGAATACAGAAAAGTGACCCTCATTTATGTGCCGAATTGAGAGGGAGTCCGCTGAGAGGAATAACTTGCGAATTAGGGCGCCATTTGCAATATCGACCTTATCTGACTTCTGTCGAGTTGCAGGTTGAGATACTTCGTGGTATGAACTTGTAGTTGCAAAAATATTGTGTTGGATACGAGGATGTACCAAAAGATCAAAAAATGTTAGTTGTTCGAAAAAAAGGAATAGCCTTTTTAAACCTCGCACAGTAAGTACAACTTTTATAATATCTACAAAACTCGTAAAGAATATCATGTCAGAAAAATAAAGTGTTTTCATTGCATTTTAATAATGCAAAATTTAACTTCATTTTTTAATTTATCAGTTTATGAAAGAGAGTTATTAAAGATTGTATTTAATAAAATCCGAATATATACACAATTGTAATGTTTTATAGGAAAAGATGTTCGATAATTGGCTCGCTAGTGGCATTGCTGCTAGAGGAATTAATAAATTGACAAAGAAAGTCAAATCTGTGAGCTGCATTTCCAAGATAATCAAATAATAAGAGAAGATGTAATTCCAATGACAGATGGTTCAACTGTGACAGTACCGCGAAAAAAATCATTATTGAAGGAAGATGCCGTTCCATCTATATTTCCAATGCCGACACCAGCAAAGAGTAATTTTTATTATGTCAATTCCATTACTGAAAAAAAACAACAAGAAAAGCACAATGAAGGAATCAGTACTGTGACACCAACACAAAATCTTCTTCAGCGTCCTGTTTCTATTCCGGATGCATGTGTGTCGCAAAATCCGGTAGCACACAATTCACAAGATGTAGCAAACGGACGTGACTTACAGTTACAAACTTGGGCTGGAATGATTAGTGATTTAAAGAATCTTACTCTTCCGTCAGAGTACTGGATTTCTGTTTTTCAAGAAGAGTTCGCAATGTGGACATGCTGGATTGATGATCTATCTGTTTGTCAGCGAAATGTCATACTTGCAAAAAATATGACATATCGTGTAAGTATCTACAAGTTATATTACAAAGTTATGAATATATATATATATTGTAAGATTATTTGTAGAAGAATTGTGTAATATTATAATTAAATAAAGAGAAGAGATACTATACTTGCACCTTCTCCTAGCTTAGTTATTTTTAAATACTCTTGTTCTGAGGGAACTTAGGTTTGTCAGGGAATTGGAAGTGAATAAGAAGATAGACGCTCCTTATAGATGAACGCTGCTTTTATTTTTAACACTTCTTACTCGTACAAATAACAAAGAATAAGGCATGGCTATTAAAGAGTCACGGCGGCCAATACTGGGCTTACTCCGACTCGTAAATTGCAATACAGGCAATTTAGAGTAAAAGATAGACGAACAACCCGAGCGTTACTCCGTTCGGCGGTCGGAGACAACCGTGCTTATTGTTCGGAAATCGGAGACGAAACGTGCCACTGGTTCTCCCGTTTTCGGGCACGATGCGTGATAGTCGTTCACGTCGCATAACGGCGTGTGATATGATTATTGTAATTGTCGGATGAAGTGGCAGGTGTCGACAGCGACTGATGTCCTCGCAATTTCGAGCATTTAGTATAATTATCTTACAGTTCGGCCGTCCTGCTGGTTCATTCGACCTCGAATGATTTAATTTATTATTATTAGTTTCATACATACATATAGAATAGAATCGAAACAAATATACAATTAAATAATGAATTGAAATACATAGAAAAATGCATATTTGTAATATAATAACTGTTTTATATTCTAAACGCTATAACAATATTTTATGAGTTGCACAGGACGGATTCAAGGTTTTAATTTTCTGGCGATAGAACGGAAGAATACGGTTTCTGTGTTACATTGAAACCCGGGATGTCAGTTACTACGTATCGGTTATTATTAAGAACTTTATTTATTTGGTACGGTCCTTTAAAAGGTGTTAGTAACTTTGAGTTCTGTCCTGGCTTTGAGTCCATTTTTCTTATCATTACGTAATCGCCGACTTTGTATTGAGACGGTGTCTTATGTTTGTGATCGTAATACACATTATTGTACTCGCGAATTGAACGTGTCGTTTCGGTCGCGATATCTCGATTCGTTTGTCTTTCGGCGACTAGGTCGATATCAATATTCGCTAACTGAGTGATTAACTGTGTAAGAATTTTATCGGAGTGCTTCCGTCTGTCGTAACCGAGTAAGAGTTTCGAAGGTGAGTTTTTAATACTCGCGTGATAAGAATTATTTATAACGTACTGAGCTTTATTTATACAAGCCTTCCATTCGCTTGGCGAGGCTGTAAGTTTTTTAAGAGACGATTTTAAAAATCTGTTTACTCGCTCTACAATCCCGTTAGCCCAGGGTGACGCAACGGCAGTCAGCCTGTGTTTTATCGCTTGTTCATTAACGAACTTTTCAAATTCAGCGGAGATGAAAGCAGTTCCCCTATCGGAGACGATCTCTTGTGGAGGTCCAAAAATATCAAATAAATTTTTCAGACTGAAAGTGACCTCTCTCGTACTCGTAGTTTTGGTTGGATAAAGCCACGTGAATCTAGTGAAAGAGTCGGCTATTATCAAAATGTGACGGTACCCGTCTTTCGTTTGTTGTAAAGGTCTAAAGTGGTCAATATGCAGGATCTCTAGCGGATCCTTCGGTGTCTGAACTAAATGCATTTCACTCTCGCGTGAATGTGGAGAAGAATTGTTCATCACACACGTTATACAGTTATCTATGTGGTCAGCAACTCTTCTCCTTATTGAAGGGAACCACGCTTCGGTGATCCCTTCTACGGTTTTTTCCATTCCGCAATGAGCCATCTCATCGTGATAGACACGTATGATGTTTGAAATCATTGCTTCGGGAACAACGAATCGCGGACGATCCGTACCCTTACGATAAACTAAGCCTTGTATTAATTTAAATTTTTCGCTCTCGGCGAATTCTAATTCGTGTGCTATCACTTGGATGCGTGTATCTTGGAGTTGCTTTAGCTCCAATTCTCTCTCGAGGGGGATAGTGTTAACATATGAAATAGTTCGGCTGAGCGCGTCCACGTGTGCCATACGCTCGCCTGCTCGATGTTGCATATCAAATGTATAATTTTGGAGCGCTAACGTCCACCTCGCGATCCGTGGGTTTAAATTCGCATAAAATTCGCCTTATTGACCGCATAAACTAGCGCATTACAGTCGGTAACTATTGTAAAGTTGATCCTGTATAAGTAAATGTGAAAGCGCTCAATTGATCTGACAATCGCGAGCATTTCCAGCTCAAAACTGTGGTAGTTGCGCTCTGCTTGATTTGTCGCTTGACTGAAAAAGACTATCGGTTTCCACTCGCTGTGGTTCTGTTTTTGCAACAATATTCCGCCTAATCCGTGCATGCTTGCATCGGTATGCAGCTGCGTTTCGGCCTTCGGATTATAGAGGCCTAATACCGGATACGACGTTAATTCTTTCTTCAAATATTCGAACGCTTTTATGCAATCTGCATTAAAATCAAAAGTAACGCTCTTTCTGAGTAAATCGCGTAACGGTTTTGTCTTTATCGCGAAATTTTTGATAAATCTACGAAAGTAATTAGTTAATCCTAAAAATCTTTGAATCTCAATAACGTTCCTTGGCTGTGGAAATTTCATGATTGCTTCTGTGTGTCGAAGACTGATTGCGATCTCGTTGTGGGAAATTGAGTATCCTAAGTACTCTACTTTCTGTTGAAGGAACTTACATTTAGGTACGTTAAGTTCGAACTGGTATTGTTTGAGTATAAGCAAAACATCGTATATTGTTTGTATATTTTCTTCGACTGTATTAGAGGCGATCATGATGTCGTCAATATATACGATAACTCTATTGTCCTCTATTAACGGACACAAAATATTTACGAGTCTCTTCTGAAATTCTGCTGGAGACTCCGAAAAACCAAATGGTAAGCGCGTGTATTCGTATTGCCCGTCCGGTATGGCAAACGAAAAATATTAACTACATCTCTCGTCGACCTTAATTTGGTGAAAGCCATCCTTGAGATCGAGGAGAGTAAATACTTTCTTGTTTCCTAACAGCGAAACACAGTCTTCTATTATGGGAAATGGATATTTCTGTTTGATAACTCGCTGATTTAGCGGTCTTAAGTCTACGCACAATCGCATATTTCCGTTCTTTTTGCGAACGGAAACCACTCGCGCGCAGTAAGGAGAATTACTCTGCTTAATAATGCCACGCGACAGAAGGTCCTTAACAATATCTCGAATTTGAATCTTTTCGGCGTACGCGAACCTACGGGGCGCGTAAGCGTAAACTGAGTCGTCTTTTAGACGTATATTGACTTTATAATCGTCGTCTATAGGCTTAACGTCCGAATTTCGTATTTCGATTAGAATGCCCTTGAGGCGTTCTGTGGATTCCACCCCGAAGTCAGTCGATATATTATCGATACTATTAAGGGCGCTGTTGCCGTTCTCGGCGCATGCAAGAACTTGCAGCAACGTCTTCGAGAATGCGTGCGGAGGCGCGTCTTTTGTTTTCGGTGTGTATGTTGCCGTTATTCAGTGTTCGTCGAGGAAATCGCGCCCGACAACGAAATCTTGCGATATTGTCATCCTTAAGAACATGTAAGTGAATATTAAGGTCTATATCTTTTAATTGATCGAATGCGATGGTTGACACGATTGAGCCGTGTATTCCAACCGGTAAATTATTTCAAGCTTTGTACTCTTTTTTCGGCGCGAGTAACGCATGTAAAGTTTCGTTACAAAATTCATGATAAACTGAAGGTTTGACGAAAGATATCGGGCTACCCGTGTCGATTAGCGCGGATAAATCGCATTTTATATTATTAAAGGTCTTAACCTCTAACGCTATATTATTTAATTGTAGATTCCTACCCTGAAGTTGGATATGAGCAACGGTGTGGTTCTCTCGAGTTACCTCGACGGCTGAGACAACGGCTGGCGGTGACGTGGTGGACGGCAAGGCGGGCGTCGTTTTAGGCGTCGTCTGCAACCGCTCCCTCCACTGTCGTTTTCTGCAGTCTTCATAGGTATGTCCAGGCGTCTTGCAGAATCTGCAGCTGGGTGTTCCATCCTTCTGCTCTGCTTGAGTCGTCTGTGATGATTTTCCGCCTTTCTTTGAAGCCATGTCCTTTGCTTTCACTGATCTTGAGTCATTTGTGAGTCGTTTATCTGAATCCATGTTGACCGATGTAATTTTGTGCATCGCGTCCAAAAAGGAGTCTACGGATTCCACGTTCAGAGCGGCAGCGGTCTCTCGAAGAGAACGGCTAAGAATGCCGCTGATAAGTAAATGTATTGCACTTTCTTGCGGCAGATCAAGATCGTGCATCAACGTTAATTTGTCCATTGCGTATTTGATGAACGATTCTTTAAAATTATACCATTTACGTGCCTCTATTTTTTGCAAGGCTACATGGTAGAACGTTTTACGAGAAAATCTTTTCAGAATTGCATCCTTGAAACCTGGCCATGATTCCAACATCGTTCCAGAACCGATGTCGTACCAGCGTTTCGCGAGCTTAACTAGCTTGCTAGATGCTGCTAATAAGGTAACATCTGAATGTACCTTGTGAATTCGAGCAACTTGCTCTACTCTTTGTATCCATAACTGGACATTTTCTGTCTCTTGTCCTCCATATTCTGGAATCTGCGTCGCTAGCAACGATACGGCGTGCAACGTCGGTACCGTACTCAGCGTGGTACGTTGTGAGGACGGCGATGCTCCTCGGCTGATGGGAGACACTGTTTCCGGTATCAACTGCATCGTCGGTCCTTCCGGTGATTCGTTGGCTGGAGGCGCTTTATGCCCGGTAAGTGATTCGAGCATTCTCATCATAATTTCCTGTTGCCTCTTTTGGCCTTCTAAAATTTCCTGGTGCATTTGTTGCATCGGATTTACTACCGTAGCGATTAAAGAAGCTACGTCTGAGGAGACCTGCCAGGCCTGTATGGTCGTTGGGCCTGTAGTTGGCTCCTTAGTGACCGAAGATCCTGGCGTTGGCTTGCCTCCTAGAGCGAACTGAACGCCGGAGGCTTGCTTTGACGTTCCGGTATCGCTCGTTGAAGCTGATGAAGACTTTCTCTCCAGGTAGCTCATTATTAAATCTATGAGTTTCCTCGGATCCTCGCACAGAGGTAATTGGTGACGTTGTGCCACCTCCTGGAGTTCGTCTATTGAGAGTTTGTCTAATTGTGCTCGATCCATTTTTTGCTGATTGGAACGGCGCGGGACAAACTGAAATCTTCTGCGTCCTGTTCTTGCACGAAGAAGCGAAAAGTTGCGCTTCTTTCGCGTGTATCGAGAGCGCGAAAAACGGTAAAAACGCGTGTTGACGCGGAGAACCTTGAAAGATCGCACAATCTACGCGGATGAATTCCGGAAGATCGAGGACGACGGAATTTAGGAGGAAAAGGATAACAGGAGATTTGATCTTTAGCAAAGGTATTTGTATTTATCTCTGTTCTGTTCCTCTCTGAGTCTGAGTTGATCCCACTTCTGAGATATTATTACTGTAAGATTATTTGTAAAAGAATTGTGTAATATTATAATTAAATAAAGAGAAGAGATACTATACTTGCACCTTCTCCTAGCTTAGTTATTTTTAAATACTCTTGTTCTGAGGGAACTTAGGTTTGTCAGGGAGTTGGAAGTGAATAAGGAGATAGACGCTCCGTTTCTTATAAACGAACACTGCTTTTATTTTTAACACTTCTTACTCGTACAAATAACAAAGAATAAGGCATAGCTATTAAAGAGTCACGGCGGCCAATACTGGGCTTACTCCGACTCGTAAATTGCAGTACAGACAATTTAGAGTAAAAGATTGACGAACAACCCGAGCGTTACTCCGTTCGGCGGTCGGAGACAACCGTGCCACTGGTTCTCCCGTTTTCGGGCACGATGCGTGATAGTCGTTCGCGCCGCGTAACGGCGTGTGATATGATTATTGTAATTGTCGGATGAAGTGGCAGGTGTCGACAGCGACTGATGTCCTCGCAATTTCGAGCATTTAGTATAATTATCTTACAATATATATATGTGTGTGTATATTCATTACAACTTACACGGAAATGATTGTCGAAAGTATTGAGTATCTGAATCTCAAAGTCTGCAATATTATACATTACATAACCACTGTACTCTCTTTTGTAAAATGCTTATTATACTAACAAATAAATGAAATGAAAAATAAATTGCAGGTATCTATCGGATGGAGACAAATCGATAGTCTAAGCGGCAAAGTGGAAAATGTGGACGATATGATGAATGTTTTAAACAAAATTTCGAATCTTTATCCCTGCAAAGATGCTGATAACGATATTTGGTAATTAAAGTCACTGAATGTTATAAAAAAGTAACAAAACATTTTAGATTTTTAATTTATCGTATCTTTATAAGCTATGTAGCCTTGATTTATTTTTAAAAATCTTGTAAACATAACATACATTTCGTAGTGTGATATCATGTCATGGGTACGTGACAAGAGATTGCGCATCACGCGGTGTGCAACGTCAAAGATGTGGTCCATGTGCCAAACGTTATAAAAGCTGTGTGGGATGGAAATCGAAGAGACACACAGAAATTCAATTCAAACGTGCTAAGAAAAGAAAATGCCAAGAACAGGAGCTACTTGATAAAAACCTGATACAAATAAGAAAAAAAAATATAAATGTATATATAAATAAGAAACCAAAGATACAAAATTTTAATTCTAGTAATTTTCTTTATTTTCATTTTCCTTTAAAATGCATAAAACATAAACTCATATAAATATATAATATATACAATTCATATATCATAAAAATTACTGTACACTGATTAAATAATTATTGTATCAATAGTTTTCAAAATTTCACTCAGTTCGTCGACATTAGTAATTTTAATGTGTTTCGAAAAAAGCATAATCTCATCATTTATGTAAATATTAACACGTAAATTAGGGAATATAGCAATTTTTTTACTTACAATATAATCATCTTCCACCTTGTGTAAACCGAAAAATTTTTCATTTCCTCTTGTAAATCCCCAATTTGAAGAAGGCAGTCTGGCTAAATTCAAATTTTGTTGCATATACTTAAATTTTATTTCGTCGGTTGTATGCTCGATCTTCCTTAAATGTTCTTACATGCTTGTAAAACTAAAAAAAATTGTACATTGATTACACAGGCCCACAAAAAAAATGAACTTTAATGTCCATCGGCAAAACCATTGTATCCTTATGTATTTTTTTCCGCTGAATCCGAATCCGGCATCCGTTTAATCCCAGCACGTCAGGTTCAAGGGTATTTAAAGGTCAAATCAGGGAAAACAGTAATAACCTATTCAAAATATCAACATTGACATATACGTTTTGGGGGTCGCTAAATCCGAATCCGAGGTCTATTGTGACCCTTGGCGTCGACGTCAAGGTCATTATAAGGTCAAACATGTATATTCTGCAAAAAAATGAATTTTTAACCGCAGATTCTGAAAGAACAGACAATTTGACGGTCAGATATGATTGATATTTATTTTTTTATCACAGCCCTGAAGGTCAATGTCTGTTATTATATAGATGTGGTAAATTGCAAAAGTATTAGACTACTATATTAATACATTTTGAGGCTCACTGACTCCGAATCCGTGGTTAATTTGATAATAATATCAAGTGCAGTTCAAGGATATTTGAAGATCAAATCGAAGAAAAAATGCGAGAGTTGAAGAAGAAACTGTACTTCCATGTTTTTGCGGTCACTGTTTCTGAATCCGGGGCCAGTTTGACTATATCATCAGGATGAAGATCCTTTGATGGTCATATCGCGAAAAAATGTGCATATAAGAGTGTTTTGATTTCGCGAGTCGAAAGTAACTTATTCAGGAAGTCAGGTTACCGTATATCGAGAGCCAACCCTACCAAAAATTTTAGTACAGTCAAGACCTGATGGTATAATGTCAGTCATCACAAAACTCAGGATTATCTACTTTTCCTTACTCTTTTGTCTTCAAATGATCTATGAAGTGGATTCCGCTTTCGCTTCTTTCCGTCCACAATATGTTCTCTTTTCAACATCCAACAATAGTCCGCCATCATATTTCTGTCCCATCGACCCTGGTATCGTCGTTTCATTTCTTTAATATCTTGATGAAACCGTTCACCCTGTTCTTCGCTGTAGTCTCCGAGGTTTGGTGGAAAGTAATCGAGATGAAAATGTAGAAAATGTAGTTTCAAGTTCATTAGACAACCTAAGTGTTTGTAATTTTGAAGTAATTCATCAACTAATTTCTTGTATTCCTCGCTCTTATAATTACCTAAAAAGTTTTCAACCTCATCTTTGAAGCTAATTCATGCTGCTTTTTCTTTATTGCTCATCGTGTCAACAAATGCTTCATCTTTTAACAATGCACGGATTTGGGGTCCGTCAAATACACCTGCTTTTAATTTGGCGTCGGATGTTCTTGGAAATTTTGTACCCAAGTACGAGAAACATCGACCTTTTTTATTCAACGCTTTAGTGAATTGTTTCATTAAACCAAGTTTAATATGGAGGGGAGGAAGCAGAATCTTAGATGGCTCTACCAATGGCTTGTTAATGATGTTTTTCTTACTGGGCTCAAACGCTTGTCTATCAGGCCAGTCAGCTCTTATATAATGACTCTCGCGGTCTCTGCTATCCCACAAGCATAGGAAACTTTGTGAAGCCTGATTGCTGACCTAAAATTATGGCGAGGATCTTGAGATCACCACAGATTAGCCAGTTGTGTTCTTTGTACTGTATCTTATTGAGTAATATCTCAATATTTTTGTATTCTTCTTTCATGGTTACCGAATGTGCTATGGGTATTGATGCATATTTATTTGTGTTATGTAATAATACGGCCTTCAGACTTCGCATAGAAGAATTTATAAATAATCTCCATTCTTCAGCTTTGTATACATCTTTCTTCAGTTCATCCATTAATCCCATAACATCGTGACAATATACGAGGTTAGTGTCTGTAGAGAAATATTTTCTGAAGGATTCGTCTCTATTTCGGTAGTGAGAATTGTTTGTCAGTAGATTCTTTTCCTTCAACCTGGAAGCAAGGAATTCAGCCCCTTCTTTTGATAGACCTAACTCCCTCACTATATCATTAAGTTCTTTCTGATCAAATGTTCCTCTCACCTCAGGTTTTAGTTCTACTGGCATGTATTCATCACCGCTTTCGTTCGTTTCTTCACTTTCACTCTCGACCTCAATAGTTGTGTCAACCTCTAATTCGCCAAGTAAAGAAAAAGTGTAACTTTCTTGATTTTTATCTCTTTCTTCCGTTGGAGCCACATGATCCTCCGATGGCTTAGTTGCACTAGAGACACTTGCATACGTAATGTTATGGACATTTGATGAGTTGAAACCTACAGTTTTTATCATACAAAAATAACAGTCCTCTACACTTTCTGGCTCACTCCAAATCATAGGCCTTACGAATTGTAATGGTGTCTTATTGTTTTTGTATCGTTCAAACGAAAATCTACAACGATTGCATATCAATTGTGGTAGCCAATACTGCTTCTTTTCAATGACTTTGCACCCGAAACATTCTTCATACACTAATTTCAAATTATTAGTGAATTTCCGAAGATTCGATTTCTTTACATGGTATTTCCCACAAACATAACAGAAGAAATTCGATTTTCCGTTACACCTGTGAGGTGTAGAGCGTATTCTTGTAGCATTGTACTCTACAGAGACCAAGTTTCCCACCAATGTAGAGCTGCAGTCGCATGATGACGACGATTGCGGGCCTGCTTGCTCACCCTGACCAACCGCCGATACTGGGCATCCGAAACCCTGCATCGTACTCCCTTGTGTGTCGGCCATGACGGCATACTGCCTTGACCCCAGGGCTTAGCCGGATAAAAAAAGAAAAAAAAAACGTTTTCCGCCGTCACCACGTGGAGGTGCCCTGGGTTCCGACACACGATAAATTCAGGAATGATAGCAGGACCGCTAAAATTTCTTTTACATTTTTGGAGAATTTAAATTGCCAAAATATTGTTTATCTGCTAAGGTCATTGCTATTTACGAAGAATGCTTTGCACGGAAAAAAGTAGATAGTTGGGGCTACTACTTAAGTTGTAAAATGCGGGTCAAACATCTTTCGTATATGCCCTTATTATTTAGATAGTAAGACCAACCATTTAATAGTAACACCACGTATAAAAGATGTTTGGTCCGCATTTTACTATTTAAATAATAATCCAACCGTCAATTTTTTCCGTGTGGTTTAAAGGTTTTAAGCCAGAATATGAAGTAGGTACCCCGCTCAAACTTGGTTTCATTCAACAGTTCGCCGAAGCTCTCAATAAGAAAGAAGACTGTTTTGAATACATACGCGGAGAAAAAGGATTGACGAAATTTTAATAAAATTAGTTCGGTAATGTTGGTATATAACGGTACAAGAATAAAGTTTACCATTAGTTCGGTAAAATCATTTTCAGGAAACACTAAGTCGCAAAGACAAAATATTATCACGACATTAAGGGATTGATAGACGAACTGAAGAAAGATCTGTACCAAGCTGAAGAATCGAGATTATTTATAAATTATTCGATTTGATCTTCAAATATCCTTGAACTGCACTTGATATTATCAAATTAACCACGGATTCGGAGTCAGTGAGCCT